TTTTTTTTGAAAGGCCCCTGTGCAAGACCTCTATCCTGGTGGTGGTAAGAGAACCACTGGGATTGAGGCTTTGCCTGGCGGGCCACTCCATCTATTGGTGGGGAGCAACACCTGCTGGAAACCGGGTCCAGCGTCCCGTAATTACATCTTTGCGGAACAGTACATTTTGAAGGTGACGCCATTGTACTGGAATCCGGGTCAAGTGTCCCATATCCTATCCTCTCGTTTCATACCTATCCTGCAGCAGGGTCGGGTGTGGGGGGGAGAAACACTGGGGGGCACCAGTGGCATCTCCCTCCCACCCCTAGCCACCGCCATCCTCCTACTGTCCTCATGGCGCCTATAGTATCTTCGTGTCTTTGCACCCTGCAGTGGTATGTATTGAAGAACGGCTGCAGCAGCAGCCAGACCGGAATGAGCTGTACAGAAATCAGCTGTTTAGACTGTTATTTCCTTACTCTACTGTCCTGCTGGAAACCGGGTCCAGCTTCCCATAACTTCTACTTTCGAGCAGTCCTCCTTAATATACTATCCTGCTGGAAACCGGGTCCAGCGTCCCATAACTTCTACTTTTGAGCAATGATCCTCAATATACTAACCTGCTGGAAACCGGGTCCAGCATCCCATAAATTCTTCTTTTAAGCAGTCATCCTTTGAAGTGACTTGTACTAGGGCCTGGGTTAGCGGGTCTCATGTAACTGGCAGAATTTCTGCTAGGGATAGGGGCTGAGGTGGGAAAGGGTCTGCGAAGTCCTGAGCAGGTCGTAGCGGGGTGCCGGGGTCAATCGTGGTCCAATCGTGAAAGGTCAGCTGGTAGTCTCTCACTACCTCTGTCCGGGTCTCTCCCTGCGATTCCCTTTCAGGTTGGCGGCCAGTCCACTTCACCTCGGCCACCCATCCCTCCCTCTCTCCCCCCAGCCAGTTCTTGCAAAATGTAGAGATGATCCTGTTCATATCCCCCCAGGAACACATCAGGTCGAGTTTGTCTTTGGCTGTCTTCCATTGGGCCGCTATCTCGTGCTGGACCAATGTTCGAATTTGCTCCATGGCCTCGCCGTCTTTCACCTGTGCCCCCTCTATCTCTCGACAGCACCTTATCCACCATATAGTCCACAGGACACTTCGTCTGCCTAGGCTAAACATATTTTCTTCAAATGCCTTCCCCTGGATCGGAGGTTAATACCCCAAGAGAAGGGCCCTCCAGTCCCATGGCCAGACCGCACCGGGGACTATGTGCCACCAGATCCTGTCCCAACTTCTCCATGGGCCTGAATATCCTCGTGAGGCCTCTTTTCAACATTTTTCCATATGTGGGGTATCAGACAGTTGCAGCACACCAGTTGGTTACAAAGCAATGTTAGCCTTTCCTGGCTCCTCTGAGAAGCAACAGCTGTGCTGCACAGTTGAGCCCAGGGCCCCGATTGGTTGCGCCCTGGGCGCACACAAAGGGAGGCCGACACATCACCCAGTGGCCATGGACCAATGAGAAAGCAGGATTGACGTCACACAACCCCAACGAGCGAATGAGAATGCGGCGAACACTTGGAGCCTGGATGGCTGCCTGGATGCGCCCAACTGTAAAGGGCCCAGGCCCATAACAGTGAATGTGGGCCTGGGCGCAGACACTGGGGCTCGACTGGAAACTCCTGGAAACTCGTCCAGCCAGGCCCATGCAGCCGAAGACAGGTGCCGAACTTTCCATAGGGAAAGTGGCCTGCCCAGGCGCAGGCATTCTGGCCTGAGCAGGCAATGCCGCCACACTGCTGCTATGCCAGGCGAAGCTGCATTAAGCAGTCAGGCCAGGGCGCATGCGGGCGCGAGGAGGTAAGAGGGCACTGTGATAGCAGTGGGCGCACGGCGGCCATAGCCAGGCTGCACGTGCGGTGGCAGGTGACAGCGATGTTGGTCTTCGGGTAGGAGGCGCATACAGAGGGAGTTCAAGGGGTGGTGAGGGGAGAAGAGAAAACGTACCTGGTGTATGCTGGCGGTCTGCATTGGTGATGACATCACGTACGTTGGTCTTCAATGTTGATGTGATCAAATTGCATGAACGTAGATAGTTTTAGGTAGGCTGGTTAGTGTAGGCTGGGCGCTGGGCACCAGACTATAGGAGCTACATTGGATTTGCATCTGTCCATTAAAAAAAAAAAAGGAAAAACATACGCAACATGTTTATGCCTCCAGCGATCACAAAAAAATGGGGAAAAATAAATTGCCCTTTTTATTATTGCTTCTTTTAAAAATAAGTTACATCTTTTTTCGTTAAAAAAAAGAAGAAAAACACCTATGTTATGCAGAAAAATAAACTGAACAACTTTTGCCTCAGGGGCCTGGACCCACTAGCAAGGTATTCTACCACGCCGCTCAGGATTTTGATCACGTGTGGCATAGAGTGACTCAATACGGCCGTCGAGTAGATCGGATCTGGACGGCCTGGTAGTTTCCGAGCGGGGACTGTAAAGATGCCCACCTCCCGTCCAATGAGATGCGTCCAAAAAGAAAAAGAAAAAAAGTTGGACTAACTTGGACATGATAGCTCGTGGCTTTGAGTGGGCGGGAAGTCTGGATTTTATGGACTCTAAAGGGGGGGGGGGGGATTTCCAGACTTCGTTTTTTTTTTTTTTGGCTCTGAGAAATAGAACTTGAAATGTGAAATTCAGATATCGTGGTGGGTCTGACAGAAACGCTTCCGCGTCTGTCGGATGGCCTGTTAGAGGCATCACGAGATACATGGGGATGAATGTATCCCTATAGCCATTACTTGTTCATCCTCGTGGCTGTGTTCGTGGACACATTTTATTGCCACGGTACATCACTATGAAGACTTACGTGAAGGAGATCGTACCAACCCATGCACAGCTGTTCTTCATAGTTTTATGTGCTATTTCACTTCATTTTAAATCAGAAAACGATCCATTCATGCAAATAAAAAATCACTTTGTATTTTCCAAAAAAACATAAAACTGTGTCACACGTAGTAGAATACTTCGCTAGTGGGTCCAGGCCCCAGGGTCACATCGGCATTCTTCACCAAAATTAAAATGAAAAAAAGATAAAAAGTAAAATAATATATATATATAATATATATATACATATATTCTATTTGACGATATATATCATATATATATATTTATGTTTTGGGCCCGACCGGGCAAGTGACCCCGGGCCACTCTTGTAGCCTAGTAAAAATAATAATAATAATAATAAAAAGAAAATTTTAAAAATAAATAATAGAAAATAAAACAGAAGAACTTTATACACACAACACCCAAAGACTGTTAACAGATTGAATAATATATGAATCAGCAAACATCCTTAACCACACTTGGTTCCACCTGTCATATCAAAGATATACCCATTAGTTGTTTCACGCCCCACCACCCAACACACAACTACGAGAACACCCATACTAAGCAAGGTAAACAAAGCATATGAACGGCAACCCAAATAGAAGTTATGGGACAATGCATGTAAAAAATAACCAAACTCACGCACTAAAACAAACCTGCCCTAGGTACACGCAGAAAAGATGCACGAAAAAAATGTTCTTTGCGTAGCACCCAATGCAAACCAAATCAACAAAAACAACGGAGGAAATGACTCGAAACAACGCACACTCAGCACCACACCCAAACGACACTACTCCCAACATACACGACAAATGCCAGAACACGGCCTGAACAAGAAGACGAAAGAACCCTGACTCTACGAAAACCTCAAAACACGCACGCCATAGCCGAATTACCTCCCAAAACGACAAATTAACCCACACCCTCTGAGAAGCTGCCAATCCACTAAAAACAAGGCAAATACAAGCACTCAGTACGCACAACCCCGTTGCAAGACATACTATTACCATGAAGAAAGAGCACCCCCTCCCCCTCGCCCCTCCCCCCTCCACCATTCCCCCTCTTCCCCCCACTCTCCAATACACGAACAACTTTTTTTCCCTGCAAACCCATTATCCGCTATACAGGCGTACACCCGCCTACGACCAAACCCAACATCCGCAATCTTAGCTGCAGACGCGCTATACATCCGCAATATAACTAGCATACTACTGCTACATATGGCATCGGCTGAGGCCACGCCACGCTCTGCATTGTCCACTCCACCCTTCTATCCGCTGAGACCTCCTAAGCCTCCGCCTCAGGCTTACCGGCGTTCGCTTGCTGAGCGAGCTCGAGCAGCCTAACGCTCGCCCCATCGATAAGCCATCACTAACGCTTCACTTACCCCCTCCAGCCATCGCAGCGCTCCCCCAGGCTACACGATCGGCGTGAACGAGGGAACATGGCTTCCGTTGAGGAGACTTCTTCTTTGCAAGTGTTCTGCGCACAGGTATGTTATTGCTCTAAACATACTTCTAACCATCCCCCTTATACCTCATCCCATCACTTACTTTATACATGCTAACATGGAGCTACCTTCCCCTGACGAGCTGCTACTATGGTGCTAAGCGGCGAAAAGCGCGCTTCAGCGCGTGCACCACCCTATGGACGTTCTCAAACGGCCATCTCCAACTTGAATTTAACTCCTAATCTGTCCGTTCTAACCTCTCCGCCAACTAACGCTGATCCTCCAGATATGGAGTCGATCTGGTTTGAAATTCCCGATTACCCTTGCTATGCTTACCCTGGTACTTTCTTTTTTTTTTTCTTTTTTTTTTTTTCCCAAACACGCCCCTGCCAGTACTAGCGGTGCTGATAAGATCAGACACCACTAACACCAGGGGGGGGGCTCCATCTATTGGTGGGGAGCAGCACCTGCTGGAAAACGGGTCCAGCATCCGATATACAAAACTGAAATTGGGATATATTCCTGCCAGCATTGATTACCCTGGAATCCAGGGGATTGACTGAACAGACAACTAGAGAAAAAAAGGGGGAACCTCTTCGCCCTGAAATCGGCGCCAGATCCCTGCTGCTACACACTAGTTCCTCCCTTCCCCTGTTAACGAGTGCATCGAGAACATATCAGAAGATGATCAGAGACAATATGGGGGGTTCCAATCGTGAGAGGGGAGGGTGTAATCTCTAACCAACGTTTCCTGTTCCACCCACTCCCTAGTCCCACATTCTGCAGGTTAGTCTTACTACGAACCCCCTCCTCAGTACCACTGTTCTCCCTCCATGGCTAAAGCTGGTGGCGGGAAAGGATCTCGGAAATGTGAAGCAGGCCGCCATGGTACACCTGGGCAAGCATTCGTCCACTCCTGAAACTGAAGATGATAATTCCTGTCGTCATATCCCACCCTGGTACTAACATCATGTCGTATGTTGATTGGACAGATGGATGGTCATGTTTCCCTTACATACCGGTTAGCTGTGTCAGTACACCCACCACGCGCACACACACACACACACACAATCAATTTTTTGTTTGTCAGTCTTTCTTCTGTTGTTTGTCCTCCCTCTGATTTTTTCTAAGTTCTTTTGTGTGCCCAACTAAGCACCCTTAAGTAGTGCCAAACAGCTGGTGGTCCCTCGTTTGGAGTGCCAACTGCACTCTTAGGGGGGTTGCTTGGTTTGGGGCGTCTGTGTTGCCTGTCGGTGATGACGGATGTTCGGTGGAGTGACTCCCTGGCTCATTGGGTGGTGGGAACCAACAGTCTGCGGTGTTCACCCGTGATGTGAGTAGGTCATGTGCTGCTTTGCTCCGTGTTGGATGTGTGGGCTGCCTTGTGTTGTCTGCGCTTCACCGTTGCCTTGCTGCATATCCCGCGTGGGTCACGTGTTGTTCGTTGTGTGCTGTTACGTTCGCTGTGCAGTCTGGTTGTGGTAGTCGTGTTGCCTTGTGCTTCGCCGCGCTGCTTCCAAGTTGTCCATTCATGTGTCGTGCCTTTTGGGTTCCTTGCTTGTGGGTCGTGTAGTGTGGTGGTCTTGTGTTTGTTGCCTTGTGCTTCATTACACGGGTGCTGTGTTGTGCCTCCACTTGCGGTGTTGTTCCTTGCAGCCGCCTGTGTCGTTTTGCAGTTGAGTGACTTCTGGTGCGTTGCCTGGTGCTTTGCAGAGTTGTTTCTTGTTGCCGTCCGTCGTTTGACGTGTTGTTCCTTGCGGTCGTCTTTGGTGTTGTGCGGTTGAGTGGCTTCAGGTGTGTTGCCTGGTGCTTCACACGGGTGTCGCTCGCTGCTATGTTCCGCTTGTGGGCAATCTGCCTTCAACAAGGGTCAAAGGGTTCATGACCCAAAACATCCAAAACCGGTACTCCGCAGATTGTCGAGGGTTCAGCCTCCTGATGAGTCGGTGCAATTCCGATGAAACAATCTATCATCAGTTTTATTTTTTTCGGTCTTTGCTTTGTTTATACTTGTATTTTTTTATGTCTTTGCTCTGTGTCAACTTGTACCTTTTCAGGTGTTGTTTTTGCATGGTTGACGTTTGTCTTGCTGTTGTTTCCCTCGCTGCCTTATGATGTATGCTTGCCCATCTGTTTACCCCATGCCTTTCACCCAGTTTGCTTTGTTGTTTTGTGTTATCTGCCTGCCCACCCGCCTCCCCCTGGCCCTCCAACCTTTCGCTGTTGCATGTTGTTCTGTGCCTTGTCGATTGTCTTATGTCGTTCTTTTTCTGGTTGTGATTGTCTTTTGCTTTTCTTTTGTGGTCTTATGGCCTAATCTTCGGGCCATGGTCCTGTGGTGTTGGTAGGATTGTTGAAACATAGAAGTCGATGTATGCACGTCTGTTGCTTTTGTGTACGGGATGAATGAGCCTTCTCCATACGATGTGGATCACTCAGCCTTCTGATGGTAAGACTTTTGATCGCATTTTTAAGCGCAACTCGCCGCGATTGACGTCGCGGTAGTATCTTGTCTCATACAAAACACACACACACAC